TTGGCTCAGATTTGAGATTACTGTATGTTAAGTAGTACAATATTTTTATTATACCTACATGACTATGGAAAATTCAGACTTAAATGTTTTCCTACCACCAGTTCTCAGCATGTAAATACCAAATTCATGTATCTTTCAACTGTATTTGTTAGGATGTTTGATTTGAAAAATTGATGTTAGAGTTGCTGACTTGAATTTCACAGAAAAAAATCATTATATGAATTCTGGCCTGTGATGAACACAGAATTTCCAACAATTTAAAAAAGGGACCCTAAGCATACTTCTGTCATTTCGTACTGTACATTTATGTGATGTTCTCAGCCTTGACAATTATAAAATCAAAGTATTGATCGACTCTGAAAAATGTTGAGGATGCTTTATGTCCTATAGCATCAAATATTCAGACAGGATTTAAATCTTTATGTGAAATAAACAACATTCATGTCTTTAGTGTGTAAATTTGCTTCCCTTTATAAGACCTGGTAAAATTATATGTAAAGAATTCTCTTAAAATAGACTTATTTATGATATATTATCAGTAAGTGTTTTACTTTTATATGTATTTTATTACTCATATGCTTGGGGGTCACATAAAAATCTTGGGTGTCAAAGAGTTATGAGTGGAGTTGAAGAAGCTTTGGTCTCACATACCACACTTTCTGTCACTTTGACCCTCTCCTGTACTTCCCAGAAGCCCAGTTGTGGTAACTACCATGTACACACCACTGTCTTTGTTAAGATCTACATATCTTTTATCACACAGTGACCCTTTGTAAGTGGGATGAACCATTTTCCTCCATTCCCCAATGAACTCAGGACTGATCACCAGTCCTGGCCCTTGCTAGATGCTCCGTAAATATTTGTTGCATTGTTCGTATGAGGATGAGACGTGGCATCTTGGGAAAGTCATTTTACTGAAGTTCATGCAGTAGTAATCTGGATGAGAGCTGGACCCAGATCAGCACCATTCCAGAAGTCATGGTTTAACATACCATTAAACATGTTAGACCCCAAACTGAGCCACTTTATCTTCTTCACATTGTACTAGGAAGGGAGGAGGTGTGGCACAGGGGGTTAAGGAAAAGGATATGATACAGAGAGGTACAGAATGAAGTCCTAATCTTGGGCAGGTTACATTCTCTGACTTTCATTTGTAAGCTAGCTCTGAAGCACCATCCTAGATGCGACTTCAAAGACAGTCTTCCCCTAGCCTATGACTCTGCTTTTTCACTACTATTAGGCTCTCGCTCTACATTCTCACCTCTCCATGAATTCTCACTATAAGTTTCCTCAGCTCCTACTAAGCTACTGACAATGTCCTCTCTAAGTTAACCAATGACTTTTAGTGGCCACATTCTCTTGGTAGGCTTCATTCTTTTGACCCCTGTGGACACAATTATGATACTAGCCACAGGACTGTACACACATTGCTTTCCACTGTACACAAGCTGCCACCTGCATTTCTAAAGTCTGAGTTAGACAGCTGTAGGATACTCTTACCACAGTCTTCCCGGCAGTTACTACCAACCAATCACTACCAGCACGTGACCTATTCACGCACACAGTGCTGTGCAGCCTCACTCCCCTCACTTCCCTTCCTCCACACATGCTATGTTCTGGGTATTTCTGGACTCGCTTAAATGTAACTTGATCACTGTACACACTTTATAATTTTGAAAGGAAAAACAATTATCCTACTGTATCAAATCAGTGCATAAGGATTCCCCCCAGAACTAGCTCCACTATTCCCTGATTTAGGAGGCTTTTTCTACATAGCACAAACACGAAAGAAAAGGTTTCTCTTTAAATTACAGGATATCACAACTCTCCATTACCATATGTCTTGGATTTTCACTGAATAGAAAAGAACCTCCGCTAGTCCTCATACATCATGACCATCTCTCCATCTTCTCTGGAACTTTCCACAGTATCTAGAACCTACCAGATGCCCAATAAATGTGTATTAAATGAAGAACAATTGAACAGATGGATGGGTAAGGGATATGCCCTTTACTTTAAAATATGGTAGGTTTAGAACTCATAGTGTCTGTTGGGGACACTGCTTGGAATACTGCCCAAAGGAAATCTTAGATGTACATGGGCCCTGGAATTTCATTGCTATAGGACAGTACAAGTGGTCATAACAGTAACCATGATGATAATAGCTACCATTATCTAGTGCTTACTATGCATCAAGGCAAAATTGCTTGCTTTAAGACTTCAAGAAAAAGGAACAGAGCAGACTTTAAGTATAATTAAAGATAAGAGCAGAATCAAGACAATTCTGGGTAAAAGAGTTATTCTTTGATCTGCTATCCAAAAATTTAACAGCTGTCTAAAACTCTGAAGAAGGCAGATTTGGGGCATTTATTAACACAAAGAGGCCAGAGTCAAAATTAAGACTCCATTACTCATATAGATGTCTGGGCTTGGCAGGAAATAAATTTTAAAAATTGTCAGCATTTTACAGCTGCTGTCTTTAACATTATCCAATGAGATTTCTTTCCTGGTCTAACTACATGGGTAAAAATTAACTAAGAGTCCTGTGTCCACTAAATATGGACTAAAAATGCCCCCTATTGATTCAGTATTGAAGGCTTGGTCCAAGTACAGCAGTGTTTATAGCAGGGGTCATAGAGAGATGAAAACTTTGTCTAAGTTAATCTGTTGATAAGGTCATAGATATTCAGAAGGGGAGCCAAGTTTGAGGAAGTAAAGTTTTGGGGGACATTTGTTGTTCTCCTCACTGTGACTAAATATCTGGCAAGAAGGAACTTAAATGGGGGAAGAGTTTATTTTGGCTGTTTGAGGTTGCAGTCAGTCTATCATGATGGAGAAATTATGAGAGCAGAAATCAAAGCAGCTGGTCATGTTATCAGGAAGCACAGAGAGATAAACTCCGTTGTCCAACTTGCCCCTCCTTTTTTATTTAGTAGGGGATTCTGGCCCATGAAACACTCACTGATGCTTACTTTAGCATGAGTTTTTCTACCTCAATTAATTAATATAGAGACTCCCTCATAGATATGTCCAGATTCTAGATCCTCTCAAGTTCATAAAAAATGCACAACTTTGAAGGATTAATTATATCCCGGTCCTCTTCCTAGACCTTCTCTGCTTCCTGCTGTCACTAGATGAGTAGCTTTCCCCCCAACACATTGTCTGAGTCATGATGCAGAGCCCAGAAACAGCTTGGCTGAGTGACCATGGCATGAACTGGGACCTAGAAAACTGCATACAAACATAAACATTTCTTATTTTGGGTTTATCTTATGGATTTTTGTCATAGAGATAGAGCAATTCAGCATCTTAAAAGATGTGGCTAAAAGAAACTTTAGGTGACAAATATTTTGGATACAATGAGTTCTGGTTGTGTAGTATTCTTGGAGACCAACAATACACATTACCATACCAGATCTTAAAAAAGAAGAGTACCCTAAAAGAAAAACCTGGTTGAATTCTGCTTGAGGGTTTGGTATAAACCTCTTCTTTCAGCAAGCCTCACATTTCTTCCCATGGGATTAGCATTGAGCCACACAAGCTTGGGAAGGTCTGAGAAGTCCCGTCTTACATGCTGGTGTTCTATCAGATATATGCAAAGAGGATTGCTACGAAGCCCTTTCTTACTTAGAGAACAGAAGATTGACTATGCCTTAGCCTAGAATAGACTAGTACAGTATTATTATTTACATGATAAAATTCAACCCTATGTGAAGGCTGGAGAGAAAAAGGCCAACTCTTAATCAATCCTTGGAATTAGCAATTTACTTATGATGGCCGTATCACCAGTCATAGAAATTTATATTTTCATTTTGTCCTAACGAAAAACTTGACCATCTTTCTTTAATATTATCAACCTGGAAGCTTGACAGTAAGGATTAAAAATTGCTCCTTGCTTCCCACTTGGTTATTGGAAAGGTTCTGAAAGGTAATCAGTCTTGTGAAGCTACACTTTACAGTCTGCATAAAAATGCCATGATTTCCCTTCCTCTCCCCAACCTAATTGAAAGTGCATAATATCACCCAGCTGGGGAAATGTGTAAACGGTAAACATATGCAATATATCATGCTATCACACAAAAGCTGGCTACTGCTAGGGACCTGGTGGTTTTCAGAACCCTGAGAACTCTGGAAAATGAGTCTTTTTCTTTCATCTAGAATGAGAGCTTCTTGTACCTTCCTCTTCACCTCCTCCCCACAGATTTCAAGCAGTAGCAGTCAGATTAGAGAAAGGTTCCTCAACCTGTTCCTGGAACGTGGGACTCCAAGGTCACCTGACAATGCATGTGGACTAAAGCTCTTTTAGACTATCCTTTTCCTAGACAGAACATTTTCCTTTGGGCAAGAGGTGCAGTTGGAATCATCTTGTTGCTTACTTGCTTCAGACAGTTGCTCCCAGTATCTCTTTCCCTTGCCCCTAAACCTACAGGTCACATCCTATCATTCACTAATTCATCAAAAACCTAGGACAAGATTATCTCATTTTCCACCTCTGCTCATCAGTGAATAGCCAGAGAGTTCAGTTTTCCTTGAGTATAAAATCCCAATCGTATGTTTCAAAGCCTCCTGCACTGTGATAGCTATCTATAATTCCACTCCGGTTGCACCTGCTTGGAAGCCATTTCCCATTTTCTGACTCCTCACCTCCAAGTTTCATGTCATCTCCTTGAATAAGTGTCTTACAATAGTGCTCTTAGGACAAAAGACAATATGCTTTCAAAGTCTTCATCGTTAGTTCCCTGCCATTGTATTCCTGAAAAGATTGTTCCCCGTTGTACCATGCACTCTACTGTTACCATCCATCCATGCCACCTTATGACTAGCTATTGTTTTATTTTTGATGACTGATAACTTACTGGTAAGTCAAAGTGGAAAACTTGTCTGGGGCACCATGTCATTTTAGTTTTAGTAGATTGAAGGATACATTTTTATTTGCTTCAGCAGTAGAGATGATTTGAAACTTACAGAATAAAACTGCATTCATCTTTCACTAATATTACCTGTCAGCTGGGGCTGGAGGATGATACGGCTTGTTGACCTTGGCATAAAGACCCTCTAAGTGGTCTCTGTCTGGAGACAGTGGTCGTCCATCCCGAGGGTAAGCAAGTGGTCCAGCTCGAGGGGGAGATGGCGATCTGAAGACATTTGCTGATGTGCATGGCTCCCGAAAGTGGTTCACTCTGGCATAATTGGGGTCCATTTCGTCATCATCCATATCATGCACTGATCCAATTGCTGCAGTGGCATAATCAACAAGACCTCTTGCCTGCTTTTCCCTTAGCTCCTGATGTTTTGCTCCAATCCTGAAAAATACAAAAGAGGTAGCATAGGCTAATGTGAATTTCAGATGCTGATACAATGAAATAGTCTCTGTTAACTCTTGCTAACCGTTTAGCTGTCACCTTCCTGTGGCTTCAAGATCATGCACTGCAGAAATGCCAACAGCATAAGAGGATTAATTTTAAATCCATGACCTTTATTTGTCACAGTCTTCACTTTGATAGCAATGCTATAGGTATTCTGACACATCTCCAACTGATGACTGGGCTGACAGCAGTCTCTCCCTACAAAGGAGTTGTGCTTGTGGCAATAGAATGCCTCGGAAGAGATGCTATGAAAGCATTTATTGGGACAAGGCTACGTGGGAAAGAGAACATCAGAATCCTATACTTTTGCTATGACTTCATTCCAGTACTCCAGAGTTTCAGTGCATTCCTCTAAAGAAGAATTTGAAAAAAATTGATTTAAATATAAAAAAGAAATATAGAGATTGTCTGGTCACTGAAAGCAGCAGAATTGAAGGTAATTTATAAGAGACTCCAAGTCTTTTGTTGTTGTTGTTGTTGTTAAACAAATGGGATCATTGTGCCTCATTGTACAAGGGCTAGGGACAGAGTAAAATAATGAAGAAATTAATAGGCTTGTAACAGAGATGAATTGGCATATATAAGTGAATTAAACTTCATTACTGGCAGAACTTCATAGCCCAAAAGCTTTAAGTGATAGTACAGAATATTGCTGTTCATTAGTGACAATATGTAGACTACTGGGGATGGAGCAAAAAAAATATGTTTAGGTGTATTCTATACCTGCCTAAATTGTGAGAAGCTATACAAAGAGAATTAGATTGGTTCTCTTCAACTCCCACTAGTACAATTAGATAGAAAGCTTACTAGGATGTCCTAATGGACAGTGGTGATGTGGATAGTATTGGGAGGCTCTTTAACCTTTTCCCTTGAGAATACAAGATGTAGGATATATGGGACAAGAGAATGAGATGATCCTGACTCAGATGTTCAAAGAAGGGTGGAAACTAAGTTGAAGCCCAGGACTCAGAGAAGGTAAGAGGACTATAGGTAACAGTGAAAGATCTATGTTTGCCTGGAGACACAGACAGAAGCTCTGGACTAGTTATAAACAAAACCTGAACTTCTCTTCAAACAAATACAGTTGTTTTTGTATGTGGGAGCTATTTTCATTTTCCAAACATCAAATCCTTTGTCAAAATCTTTAGAACCCATAATTATTAAAAATATGGTTTTTTCTTGTGATGGGGCAGTGTTTGTATTTTAGTTTTTTTTTTCAGTAGAAAAGAGAAACTGGGTAAGAGAAAGAAAAAGCAACAAAATAAGATGGTTAGAGTTAGCATAGGATAGAAAAGCAGCACCTATCTTGGGGTCACAACAGATGAAATTAAATGCCAGAATACATTATTGCATATCTGTTTTGACTAAGCTAAAAATATACCTGACATATAAATAATTGGAAGGATTTACTTTTTTTTTGCATAAGGCAGTTTGAATCTCTAAGGTATTCTGAATTAAGATGAAAAGATTACACAGCAGGGTAACCATTAAAGGGCCTTGCCTGTCCCCTTTCAATACATGTTAGTCCCAGATTCATGGATGTTTGTTTTGAATAATTTTTGATAAAGATGATAGCCTGCTCCAGTGAAATTTGAGACTCAGCCTAAAATGGGCATTATGCCAAGATTTATCATTTTTCAAGGGTTGGTGCAGACTGGTTTATCAGAGAATGGTTCCTGTACTACAAGGATAGGGAAGCATTTCCATTGTAAATAAGGTAAAAGACATGTGGAAAGGGTGCGATTCAGCACGCTCCCTCTTCCTCCTAAGTGTGATGGCATGAGAGAAATCAGTCAGCAGAAAGATAACTACCTCCTGGCCACCACATGGGGCTACACTTGTGTATTAATGGAAGAAGAAAATACCAAACCTGGTTTTTCTAAAATAGCAGAAATAGAACACCGGGATCTGTGCTTCTTATTTCATCTCTCTCTTCTCTCTCTCTCTCTCTCTCTCTCTCTCTCTCTCTCTCTCTCTCTCTCTCTCTCTCTCTCTCTCTGAGATTTTCAAATGAGTTAAGCTTGCTAAGTTTGTAGTGATTTGTAGATGAAAAGTTCTCTGTGTATGCCAAGCAGTGTTGGATCTGGCATTTTTCTTCGTTAAAACAAAACCAATTCTTCCTCGATCTCCTCTGCACTACTGAGAGTGGCAGTAACTAATTTAATATTAATCACTCGGTAGGTGAAATAGTAATTTCTCTGCCCCATCATTATTATGCCATATATCAGGGTCTTTCCATGTGGAGGAGGATGAGGCAGTCTCTGAAAGGGGGTACAGAAGAGCAGAAGAGACTCTCTCAAGACAAGTGTCAAAGAAAAACAGTTCATTTGTCTTGCTCTGATCCACCTCTACCACACGCAGCCTGAAAATTCTAATTGTTCCTAGTTGTTTCTACTTGGGAGTCTCCTGACTACTGGGAATTCAACTGGGGAGATGGGTTTGAAGGAGGGAAGAGTCAGCTAAAACTGAGGGGTATTTGAGGGTAGCACAGTGGAAACATCCTAAAATATATGAAGGTGATCCTAATAAAATCACCAAATAATGAGAAAAACAAAACAAAACAAAATACCTGAATTTGAGAATAGCCTGACAACCTTTTCGTGGTACGACTCACTTGTCCATCCTCCTGAGCACACTGCCTTTGAATTATTGAGATCTTTTTGCTCTCGTGGAAACCAGCAGTGTCTCTTGTTCCCATTATATTTCTTGATTGTCCCCTTTATTTCCATTTCCTTGGCTATAGTAAACAACATTCATATTTTATATTGCCTAGATCTTCTGTTTAGTGTGGTACCTATTTGCTGTGTGTGGCCCCATAAATTTAAATTTGAATTAATTAAAATAAAACAAATCTCAATGTTTTAGTCTTATAAATTCATTCAAGTGATTAATAGCTACATATAGCCAGTGGCTGCTGTGCTGACAATGAAGATGTGGATAAATTCCACAACTACAGAAAGTTTTATTGTACTATGTCAGTCTAATTGATTCAAAGAGACTTTGGTGTGTCACCATATTCCAGTTGTTTTAGTTAACATTTCTACTGCTGTGATAAGACACCATGACCCAAAGAAATGTGGGGAGAAGAGGGGCTTTGTTTTGTTTATTCCACGTCATAGCTTATAGTGCATCATCTAGGGAAGTCAAGACAGGAATTTGGAGGCAGGAACTAAAGCAGATGACATGGGGAGAATGCTGCTTACTGGCTAGCTCCTCATGGCTTTCCCAATTTGCTTTCTTACAATATTCAAGACCAATAGCCCACAGTGATCTGAACCTTCCCATATCAAACATCATTTAAGAAAATGGACCATAGGCCATGTGGTAGGGACATTTTTTCAATTAAGTTTTTGTCAAGTTGATGAAAACTAGCCATCCCGCCACTATAATCTGTTCCTGAGAATGCTTCACTAAAAGTCTTCCTTACAGAGCAATTCCACTGCCTCCTCAGTCAGATTGGGGATCTCCAATGTATTATCATAGATGCTTGATTGACAGTATTGTTAGTTCACTGCTTTCACTGAAATGTTACAAAAAGTGGGGAAGAAAAATTAATCTTTAATGGACTTAGAAGTGGTTACATTCCCACAACTTGCAATGAAATTGAGACTCAACCTAAAATAGGGGTTATGCCAAGAGTTAATATACGTTTATATTTTTAGCTGGGCACATATTTCCCTGAAGTAAGGAAGAAAGTTTGCAGAAATATAGTCAGAATGACTTTACTTAATAAGAGAGCCCGAGGACAAGAAAGGACCTGAGATTATGCCTTGGTGAGGATGCAAATGGGGAATAACAGCTTGGGAGAATTAAATGTCCTGTGAGTTGTCTCCTGTCTATGAAGAAACTTCATGGAGACAAAGTAGGGATTAAATGAAATGGTAGGTTAAAGAGCAAAGATAAATCCGGACTCATCAAAACAAAACCGAGCACTGAGGCAACCTCATCTAGGAGTAGATTCATCTGATGTCAGAATAACCTGCCCCTGAATTAAAGATCATAGAAAGTAAACTCCCAGGACAGTGACATAGTGAAGTGTGAAAGGAAATTATTTTAGGAAAACACTTAGCATTGAAGTTACTGGTGACCTTACATTATTATTCTTGTGTCACTGAAAATGATGTTTCAGCAAACATTTTAAATTAAATTTCAAACATTTATAGGTTATGAAATATATTTAATTAGTCACAGAAATATTTCTTTCAGTAAAGATCCACCCCTACATGGTTGCACAGCCTTCTAAAACATTGGCACGGTATTCCTATTCTAAAGGGAAGGTATACTATTTGCATATAGTTACATGTGATACTTGTAATTTATACAATGACATTCCTGCATGGAATTGTTTGGCAGGGTAGAGGGAAAAGCCATAATGTAGTTGCTTCTAGGAATGCATCTTAATGCAATCTTTCTACATTGTGTGTTTTGGAATTTTTATATGTATTTAAGATAATTATCTCAGTTATGACAAATTATTATTCACTGAAGTTGTGTTTGGTTCCTTTAGCTCAACTGCTTCTACCAAAACTACTCAATTTCCATTAGTCAATCAATTACCATTAGTCAAAGACCTTTAATCTTTAAGCTTGTCAATCATAGCCTCACAGTGGCCTCATTGTTTTGTCTTCTCCACAATGTGCAGGTTCAGTAAACTCTACATTCATCTGAAATATACAGTTATAAAGTTCTTTAAATCCATTGATTTCTGTACATTCGTTTCATTTCACAATAAAGTTGAAAGTTACAAATGGGAACAAATGCAATAGCAATTACCAGGTCCAATTTTGTAAGCATCAGACACATTTGTATTATATAAGCCTTGTAAAATTTGCTCACAACTGTTACTAAATGGCTTCCTTTTGGAGAGGAGTGGTGGGTGGATTACACAAACCAGTCTGCTTCCATGTGTTGTGTTTATACCCTAGCATGCCCTTTGT